TTAAAAAAAAAGATGGTTAACTAAAGCATTAAAAAAGTAAAAAATAAAAAGTCATTAAAAAAGTAAAATGGAGGTAGTGAAGACAGTTGTGGTGGTGGTATAATTAGAGGTGGTACCGGCACCAATAGAAGTAGTGGTGGTAAACAGGTTAGTGCTAGACGCAATGATGAAGGTAAAAGTAGTGATGTTAGGAGAATTGAAAACATATCCCCACAAAAACTTGCACATGAATGTTGTTCATAGCAACATAATTAGTAATATCCCCAAAGGGAAAAGAGTCCATATGTCCATCAATGGATACAAAGATAAACAAAATGTGCTTTCCATACAATGGATATTAATTAATAAAATGGAGGGAAGTTTTATTACTTGCTACAACACAAATGAACCTTGAAAACATTAAACTAGATAAAAGAAGCCAGTCATAAACAATCACATGTTGTATAATATCATTTATATGAAATGTTCTGAACAGACAAATATATGCAGGCAGAACAGAAATTAGTGCTGGGGGTTGGCTGCTGGAAGTGGGGTGGGAGTGAGAACTAATAAGTTTGGGGTTTCTATTTGGAGTGATAAAATTATTCTAAAGTTAGATTGCCTGACTGAATATACTGAAAACCATGACGTTATATCCTTTAAATGGGTATATTTCATAGTATGTCAATAAAGTTGTTAGAAAGGAGGAGGGTCATGGAGGGCTCAATTTTGATGGTGGGATTTTGGAGAGAGAAATAAAGAGTTGATGATGCCTAATATATCTGAATCTAGGCAGGCTCAAGTCTGAGTTCGCAGATATGTTTCCACAGATTTTTTAAATACATCTTTTGGAGAACTGTATTTCTGCCAACAGCTAACACTTTAACCACACATAGGTATTTATGAGACAGATTATAAACATCAAGCCAAGTTTCAACTGCTATTGAAAATTGTGTCTAATGGGTAAACTCCATTTTGTCCATACAGTGTCCTCAGCACCCAGAACTGGCTATCGTAGGACCACTGGAGCAGAGCAGCTGGGATCCCTTCCTGTAAGTGCAAAATCAGACGGGGTCCATAAAGAAATTAAAGCAGACATCTGAGGTCTATAATTTTTAATAATTTTAAACTAGCTACAAAATGTCAATCACTTTCACAAACCAACAGAGGAGACAGGAGGAATTTAATATTACATGCTGTAATGATATTTATCTCACAGTTTATCTATATTTCATTCATTTATAATATTTTTAAAGGTTTCTTTATCAGCTACTAAACATCTTAGCAATTTGGTGTGCATAGCTCTAGATTAAGCAACAGAGAATTGTACTGATAACAAACCACAGGGGAAATGGTGATTAATAATAAGAGTCAGCCTTACAAAATTTACATCTCCACACTGTTTCACAGCAAGTTTGCCTTCTCCAAAACATCACCTTCAAAAGCAGCAAACAAACCCTATATTACATCCATTTGACATAGTTTCAGCCAAACGTATATTTTGCTGGAAATGATTAAGTGGTGAGTGTGTCAATTCCATCTTTTTTTTTTTTAAAAAAAAAATGATGATGATGGATAAGTCTATATGTTGACAGAAAGAAAGTGACACTACGCAGTTTTGCTGGTATAACTTAATCTTGACAGCGTCTCAATACTGAGCATGCTTCTTGTTGTTGTATGCTTGTGTGTATTCTCATCAGTATGCTACTGTCATGGAAAGGTTTTGTTTAAGTAGGAATCTAAAAATCTATTTAGTTCTCATGCATAAATGCATAAATCACATCACTTTTAGTGCAATGCCTGTTAAGTTATTCCACATTGTCTAATCATGAAATCATAAAGACAAATGACAGCCAAGAGGAACCAAAGACAGCAAATTTTGAGAGTTTCAGAGCCTGACACTCAAAGAAAGGACTGGGGCAGTAGCTCTGTGGAATGTCACAGTTTTACAAGAACAATACTGTGTATTGAAAGAATCAACAGCACATTGAGCATTCCTAAATTGTTATCATTCAGCAAACGCCACTGAGGAGAAAAAAAGGGAAACTGAAGCCCAAGATACTTTATGTAGGGAATTAGAGCCACCAAATGACCACTATATACAACCTTTGGAAAGAAAGAGACCCAGAAAGAACGAAACACACATAGTATGTTGGGAAACTGATGGATGACACAAGACAACATTCACAATGGGGGCGAGCTGATGTGTGTGTGTGTATGTATGTGTGTGTGGGTGTGTGTGCAGACCTACTGGGTAATACCATGAGAAAAGCATGAAGGTGCTATCTTGCCCAACAGCACTTGGAAGAGAACCCAGTGGGCACATTTAACCACTCCCCAGCATCTTTGTTGCACGTTGGTTGGCCTCATCAATTCTGGTTTTGTTGGAATCAGCCTAGAAAAAAGGGGAAGAAAATAACCATGGTTACCGCTCCCATTCATCCTTCTGGTTCATTTCAACCTTTCTTGGGTGAAGCCACCTACTGAAACCTTCTGGGTCAGAAATGACCATCCCCTTGTTGTGTGTGTTCTCAGTAATAATCATTACATATGGTAATTATTGGCCATCATCAAAGAAACATGATCTCAGTTCTCAGATCGGTTTTCCAATCAGAGAGCATCCTTTTGAGGACAGAGCTATAGTTTATCTTTTTCTACTGGAAGGGCATCCAGTGTTTTCTGTGAGAGGCATTCACCTCTATTGGAAAGTGCTGAATTACCAAGACTTGACAGCTGGATTCAAATATGGCTAACTTATTCGCAGTTTAATGGTGGACAAATTACTTAGTGCCTTGCAATTGCAGTTTTCTTGATTGAAAGCTGGGGACAATAAATAATACTGTTAATAAGCACTACAGCCTAGTATGTTCCATTCATTCAACTTTGATAACATCAAGACTGACATAAACTATGCAGTTATTTATTATTAATGGCTTTTGCCAAGTAAGGAAACCAGTCAAGAGGGTTTAAGAAATTTGTCTAAAGTCATGATACTAATGATTGGGGAAACCAAGGTTAGCAGCAAGTGGCCTGGAGTCAGAGTCCACAGTGGTAATCACTGTGTTAATCATTATACTACTTGCGCTCAATATATCTTACCTTACAATTACTGAGTGAATACTTGCTTTGAGGATGTTTAATAACTTTAAGCCCCACTTCTGAAGACTCACTCCTCTGGCTGTTTTAACACTGGGCACATTTACTGTAATTTTGTGCATTGTTTTATCTCCTCACTGCTTGACTTACCTTTTGCTGTAGATGCAACATAAAATTAGGACTACTACCAGGATAGACTTTTAAACCCCAGAAGAATAACATATCTCCAATATTACTGAGAAATATATGAGTCAACAAGTAGAGAGACAAAGATAAAGATTCTGTTTAGGCTGTTTTGTTCCATTGTGACTGGTAATATTGGTCCCACAATAGACTGGGAAAGAGGGAAAATGAGAGACAATATAATCAGAATTATTTTTATATCAGCAGTATTAACCAACGATTTCTGATTTTGTACCTACTATTATGCTTGTTACTTTCCAAATAATATTGACTTGGGATTTCTTTACTTAGTTTAATTGTGAATTCATAAAGCACTAGAGTTATCTATGTTTAAATAGGAATTTGTAAAATTAAAATGGAAATATTTCAAGATTGTTCATGATGCTAGTTATCTGGCAACAATTCCTTACCATCTGTTTGGGTAATCTACAGTTGACTTTCAAAGCAAGTGAAATAAAGTACTCATTCCTTTGACTGTATTGCTATATAGATTCACATTTTTTACCTTAGTTACTAATTTGGAAAATGAGTATTCCTCCAATCTTACCTGACTCACATCTTCCCTCTGTAACTACAAATCATATTGGAAATAATGACCCTTCACTTCAAAAGAAAATTACAGGCTAAGATCAATGCTGTGGCAGGTTGAATTTTGTTATTTTTCCAGCCTAAACTCTGAGAAAAACTCAAATGATAAAAATAATCTATTAAAAAATGGAAGGCATTTCTGGAGACAAATGTTCTATGATCTTCTGCATAAAACTGCACTAGAGAACTTCTACCTGGTGGTATAAGGAGATATTTTGAAGTCAAATGTGAGGTTACTCATGGTCTGAAAACATCTTGGAAAAGCAGAAAAAGAACTATTTGATGAGCATCTGTGATTTCCCCTTATATTTTTTCTGAAGCAAATCTAAATTCAAGCCCACAGAATTTCTGACACACACAGTACCACATCCTCATTTCATTATGTAACAGAGTGTCGTTTGGGGAAAAAAAAAATCTTGTGATAATCTCTTTTTAGACACGTTTCTGTATTTGGAAAATGCCTCTATGTTCATCCTATTTCTGTGCCTTAGGACTTTATTATGGAATATGCCACATCCCAATTTTCCTATTTCTATGTAGAGACCCTAAATTTGTCCGCCATCCTTGATAAGCTATATAATCAAGCCAACATGACAACCACAGAGCTACTAAGAGCTTTGGAAGGTGCTATCTGGCCTGCTCTTCTGAGCACCCTGGGAATTGTCTCCACTTCAGACCATGGCAGTTGAGTTAAGTCCATGCTCAGACAGCAGAAGTGGACACTCACTTCCCCTCCTGACAGCCTGTTCTCATCCCATGTTGAAACTTCTCTCTTACGATCTTTCATGTGAGGATACCAAGTCCTGAAGCTGATGAGCAGAAGAACCCTGTCAGATCTTAGTTCCTTCTGTTTCCTCATTGATAGGAAAATGTGAGAAATGCTAACACTTGAACCTCACTCTATTTTAACATATGCATGGCCTCTGACATAGTTTAAATTTGAAAATTACTAAGAACTTCCTTACAAAAGATCTCATAGAGTAGCTGGCATAAACTCATCCCATTATAATAGCCTTCAGAAATAGTACACATTTTTAACCTTAGAAGATTATTTATTTACAAGATTGTGTGTGTGTGTGTGTGTGTGTGTATTTCCTTAGAGCAGAAGATTATTTATTTACAAGATTGTGTGTGTGTGTGTGTGTGTGTGTGTATTTCCCTAAAGCAGAAAGCAAGGTTTAAAAAATATATACAAAGAATTTTCAGGGAGGGAAATCACATTGTTTGGGACTCCCAAAACATCACTATTAAGCTGAGTAGTGACAAAGCATCATGACTAATGGATTGGGTGCAGGTTGTTGTTGAACTCAAGCAAGAAAATGGGAGAAATATCAAAGATTATTCCATTGTGTGGCTTCAATTAGATATTAGATATTCAGGTGACTTTTACATTCTGTTCCCTGTTACCAGTGAGAACTTACAAGAGAACCTGGAAGTCTACCCATAATTGTGTATATAGCATGTATCATTTGAGGGCAATACTGGGTGGAAATAGGCTTCATCTAAATCATATTCAGATGGTGATTGTGGGCGTGGGGACTTAAGCTAGTTCTTCAAAGGCAACTGAGAACCTACCTTCCCTTTTACAACTCAGTATTTGAAGAGTGGCTATTTCCCAGACAGGCTATGGTCTGACTTTGATTAAACCTCATAGCTGCATGTTTTTGTACTTGTAGTAAACTGGGCCCAGAGTGAATGGTCTTCCCTAAAGATGAGAATTATTGTAGAAATACAAAGCAGCAGAATGAAAGTGTCATTTTCCTTTCTAGGAATACTTTTTTTTTTTTTTAACTTCAAGACCAACAGTATCAATAAAGGTTTGACTTCCTCTTTTTAGTAAAACTTCTCTTGGAACTCTAATTGGCTTTGATACACTATCCATCAGTACCTGTGAGTAAAGTGGGTCCATTAATAGAAAATAATTACTTCTTGTTTTTTCAAACAATTTTTTGTTGGAAGCTATGTTAGCAGCTACTTTGTAGTTCATTTTTCTTGGCCATAATGGGTTAGGTCAGTTTTTATTGGCTCCACTGCTTTTTGAAACTCTCAATATTGTTCTGAAATCTATTGATTTGCACAGCTATAAAAGCTTTCACATATCAAAGGATTCTTAACAATGATAAGTATGTAATAGTTTGCAAAAGTAAGCTAAGCAGAAGCATTTTGCCAACCAACACTGACATTTGTGTAGCTCAATATCAATCAAAAATATTTATGGAGTCAGATATTTTTAAAATGTAGTGCATAGACCACAATAAGGCAAAGTGTTTCTTTTATATCTATTCATTCCTTTTCCAACTCAATGGAGGCTGACTTGAAAAAGGACATGAAACTTATATTTAGCCTTATGATTTAAGAGATCTCAAAAGCATCCTTCTCTGTTTACTAAAGTGGTGATTTGTTAAAAAGAAATTCAGTGTTCAGACTCAAAACTTTACTATCTTCCAGGGAATATATCCACACAAGAAAATCAACTAGAATAAGATTATAAATGCAGTTATTATTAAACCTATACTGTGTATCAACCTCCTGTTTGGCAACTGAGTATCTTTAAGACAATGTAAACAATATTCAGAACTCTACTGATTGGGGAGGGAGTGGAATAGAAGGACAGATAAGTTACGTCAGATTTCTAGAGTGTGAAATATCAGTGTTTGGGGTGCTCTAAACCTTTTGGTAAAATCTTTCCAGTGTTTCTTTCTCTTTCTCTTTCTAACCTCGGACCTCCAAACCCACCTTTTTTCATTCTATACTGTCCATTATTCCTTATGCCTCTTGTGACAAATAGGGGGGCCAGTCTTAGAGCCCTGGCTGGTGTCTTTACCTTGTGTTAGCTTTTGATGAAGCCAGCTTTGTCACATGTTCCTCTGAGAGTTGGACATATGAACTGTTGAACTGGCGATGTAATCGGAGCCTTTTTGAACTATCCTTAAAGCTTTGACATTTGTAAAATCAAAGCTCATATTCATCTTCTGACTAAACTAAAATAACTTTTCTTCATATCCTGTTTCTACTCCTACATCAGCTCTACTTTAAAAGCTCCTAACCATCCTTCAAGGTTCAATCCAAATTCAACTTTGGAGATTTTTTTTTCATCTCTGGGACCTTGAACTCTCTTTATCTACTCCCCGCTCCCCCCCCCCCCCCCAGCCCTTAGTATTGTATGTGTGGTTCTCCCAAATTACATCTTGTTTGGCAGTAGATTCAGCTAGAGGCTTGCTGCCTCCTGTGGGTTGTGAGATTTTTGGCATTAGGATGGTCTTTCTCATCTTTATATGCCCTTCAGGGGCTCGCAAAGTGCCTGAAATAAAGATGAAGCTGCAGGATTAAATTCTACCCTTCATTTAGCTGTTGCTGAGTTTTTCACTTGGAAAAATTAATGAGAAAATTGATATCTACTAGTGTGTCTGAATCCAGTGTTGTGGTTTGAGGTGTTATGCTCTCTGCACTTCCTTATGGGTTATTTCAGAAGTGAAGAGCAACAGAAACTTGATTACTGCCACACTCTCACCTTCTCCATGATCCTGTCGATCTGGCGATTCTGTGTATCGATCTCATTGCCCATGTCCAGGGCCATGTGACGGAGGTTTCCAATGATGCCGCTCACCTGCTCCAGGTTTTCATCCATTTCATTTTCTCGGGCATCATTTGTTACCCTGAGAGTCAAAGCAATTTTTAGCAGATAAGAGAGTGAGAAAAACTTTGATTATGAGGGACCTAAAGCACAGGAAAAACATGTAAACTTCTAAGAAGTAATTCAAATTTCATTTTTGACCCCTTGAATTTCTGCTTTTAATAAAGGTGTTTAGACTAGTTTATCTACTTCTCTTGCTTCCATCTGTGTGTTATCTCCTCTGTTCATGGTTACCCCATTTTCATCTTTAAAGCATAAAATCCTTTAAACTGGGGGTTCCCAGGCCAGAGAATGAGGATGGAACCATTAGAAGTTGTATTTTTTCCTTCTGAAACAACAACCCAAATCTTCAAGGGTCAAATTCAGAATGAAAGGAAATGTTTATTGTGCAAAGTCATAGACTTTCTCCGTTCATGTCCTTGGGAGCAACTTCAATGGGAAGAGAAACAATAATTAGTCTGCTCCTTAATGCTGCTTGCTTCCAAAACAACGGCAAAAGGGCACTATTTGTTCAAGGTGATTTTTATTTGCTCAACTTTCAATGTTATAGAGATTTTGGTGGCATTGTGAATGGGTGATTTTAGGGGAGAAAACCATGAGTGAGAAGGAAGGATTTCACTCACCAAGTGCCTTATAATTTTGTCATTTTTTTTTCCCCCACAACCCCACTTGAAAGTTAGAAGGGTACTAACTTTTCGTTGCGAGTGGTATTTATTCAAGAATGGTGTGGTTAATCAACATTTCCCATTACAGAATGTGATGGGTTAAAAATGTTGAGATGTTCAAAGGGGTTAAAATGCCCCACCCCCATGGTAATTCCCAATGTAGAGAAAATTAATGGGAAACTGTTAACTTGCTTATATAGAGAAGCTCATTTAAATAATCACTGACAATAAAGGCATACTTCTGGTTTCATGGTTCTTAGCCCTAATTGCATGTTAGAATTGTCTGAGGAGCTCTGAAAGCCACAGATGCCTGCTGCCACTTCTAGATTCTGATTCTGTGGGTGTGGATTATATCCAGGCACTGACATTTAAAGAAAAAATTAACTCAGGTCATTGTAATGTGTAACTGAGATCATTTCTCTGGGTGCAGATAGAAATAAAAATAGAGCTTCTTTCTAAGCAGAGATCTACCTTAAATATAGGTGACAATGACCTGTCTCTTGAGCCTGGCTTATTGGTGTCAATATCAGCTATAATAGCCTAACTATAGATAGCTATACAAATAGCTAATAGTCACTGCTAAATATTCATGATGTAGATTGTAAAAGGGGTCATTTTTCTTTTCTTTTTAATAACAGGAATATTTGTGGGGCCTTCCTGGTGGTGAAGGAGTTACAGCAAAGTACTATGAAGCTATCTTTAGTGACTGCAGCACAAGTTCAATCCCTGGTCAGGGAGGTGACCCAAATGGCACAGCTCACACCCACTACTCCCCTCAGCAGTGTGTTTCAGTCAGTCTGCCTGTTCTGCTCCCCATTCTGTCTCAGGTAAAGCCTCTCACCCCCCCCTCCACACTTCAGGCTTCTACTCCAGTTCTTGTATGCATAAGTAAATAAATCTTAAAAAAATAAGTAACAGGAATATTTGTTATAATAGTTCCTGTTTTCTGGTCATATGGGAGTCATGTATTGAAATCAGAGATCTAATTTGAGATTTCTAAGTAGATATTTAAGTTAGCCTTTGTTTCTAGGCATTAGAAACAAATGCCTAGTTCTCACAGGAAATAGTAAGAGTCCAGGTATGCTCACTATTTTCCACTTGTAGCTCCAAAATCATTCTCTGACCTTTTCTCTCTGTCCTGAAAGTCTAGCTCCACAACTGTATGATACAAGTTTTCCTAATCTTCAAATTCAGGAGAGCTTTGGCTCATGGACAGTGAGAGAGTGGAAGGCAAGGGACATTTCCTCTTTCACTTACTTATTTCCCTGTTTCATTTCCTGCTTGTTTTGACATCCACTGCATCTCTCTCTATCAACTGCCTCTCAGTACTAGCAAAGTTTTCAGCTCTTCCTTGGGACACTTCCTGCTATTGGTAAAGTCTGAGTACTTTACCTATCCTTGTTTTGTTCTTGTTGTTTGCTCATTCATTTACTTTCCCTGTTAATTTTTCAATATAATTTTTACAAATTAATACCTAATAGTAAAAAGAATTTTATAATATACCTAGGATGCACAAGGTACTTCCCACAGATTATCTTGCTTAATCTCTACTACAAATTATTATATAGAGAATATCATTCACACTTTTTCCCTTCAGAGGAAAGTGAAGATTATCAAGATTGCATAGCTTGCTTCAGATATGAGTTCAGGTCTAAATCACTCTACAGGTTCTTAATGATATCATGTCTATACTTTCACATCTGATACCACTCCTGGTTATTACCCTTGTCTACACCTCTGCAAACAATCTCTTTAAAAATGCCTGCCCCAAAATTATTCTGTTCAAAAGTTATGGCATGAGGTGGTATTGACTGCCACATGGAGGGTGTGACTTGCCTTGTCTTGTGAAACTTGGGCAAACATTATAAATGCTTGTGTGCTGGAGCCTGTCCTGAGTGATGCTCATGTAAAAATTTTGGGCTAACATGCTGGAGAGGCCATGAGAGGGCACATGGAGGAGACATCCTGCCAGCAGCTCCAGCATCCTGCCAGCAGCTCCATCCACCGGGGAGTGAGGACATCTTGCATCAGTTGCACCCAGTTGCTTGTGATGAGTGTGCCCTAGAGAGGCTCTCAGAGAACTACTCAAATGACGTACAGATTCACATATATGATAGAAGAATTGTTATTTTAAGAACCACTCAGTTTGGGGCGGATTGTTACACAAAAGTCCATACTGCTACAGTGTTGTCTGCACCAGGCTCACCTGCGGATGAAGCCACCACTGATGGCCATCTGCTCCCGTTCATCCACCACACGAGCAGGCTGGCTGGCCACCACTCCATCCTGATTATTGCCCCAGGCTTTTTTGTAAGCATCACTTGATTTAAGCCTATGCAAAAAAGATGGTGAGTGCCAGGGCAAGGGGGTGGAGCTTCAAGGTCATAGCAATGGTTACCTCTTCAAGCGAAGAACCGAACCAAGCGAATGAGTTTCAATTTGAGGCATTAGAGAATACCGATATATCATAATTCTGACCCAAACAGTTGGCCACCACCATGCCTCAGCTTTTCACTTCCAATTGGGTCAACTGCAGTTGTCAAGACTGCAAGATTTGCCCACAGGCTCTTCTGGTTTTGGTTTGTTTTTGTAGTTCAGTTGGATTAAAGACATAGATTAAGGTAACTGGAGGACACTGAGTTCTAGTCCAGTGACATGGTTCTATTTTGAGACACAAAACACAGAGAAAAACATACTGGCAGACAGACACACAACAAAACTGCCAAGTAGAGTGTGTACATCACACCACAGCAACACACTGTCAAGAAAAACGTACTTGACCAAGTTTTTACACACCTCATGCAAAGAGTCCCTGTTTAATTCTCGCCCCCCTGCCCCCCAACATGTGTGGAACTAACCATTGTAACTCTGCATGAAGGACATAAAGGACTGGTGGTTGGCCAAGGGTGATGGTCTTTGAGTTGCCTCTAGAGTGATTTGAATTAGATAATATATCGGTACTTCCAAACAGTCACCATACATCCAGAGTCGATGTACAAACCTTTGTCCACAGAGACAAAAAGTAAAAGAGGCGTAGTGAAATGAATGCAGGAAAATAGAAGAGAGAACAAGCCATCTAGCACCAAGAAGGGAAATCCCTCTACGTCTTCTTCATGCACCAGCTACAGGCATGAGTAGAAAGTGAAGCATTCTCATTGAAGCCAAACTATTCCAGAAGTTCATCATTCTCGAAAAATGGCACTAGCAGGACAGTAATAGCCTTCATGACGATTTGAAACGCAGGTTCAATAGCTTCTTTGCTGGACTGAGGGGCAGGATGGGGGTGATTACAAATGCCTACTAAAAACTATCCTGGAGGGTGTGTGTGTGTGGGGGGGGGCGAGTGATCTGGTACTGGTGTGATCTCCAGGGGCCGTATTTCACGGAGCTGCCTTGGAGAGAGACTTAATTAAAATCCAGGCATACCTGTTGTGCCCAATAGGAACATGTGCAGCATATTTTGGTGTGGGTGTGTTGCAATTTATGGCCATCAAAGATGTTTTTATGATTTTTTGCATAGTAGAAACCACACGCTTTTTAGTCCAAAAAATGAAAGAATGTCCTTTGGTCCCCCTTTCACATTTTCTATTCCAAGACACCAGAATTTAAACCCCCCTTTCAATTTTCATTTGCAAGAAAGAAGACCACAGCCATTTATTACGACTGGTTCTAAGGCTAATATTGGCAGATTGGGGTCCAAGCAACCCTGGAGACAAGTTAGAAAATTGTACAAATCATTTCAGTAACTCCCACAATCTCGTGTGGAATGCCATAGCCTCAGAGCTGTCAGAATTTACTGTGTTGAAAAGCCATGGGCCCACACAGTGGGACAGGATCCAAAAACTAAGAGAGTTTAGAGTCTGGCTTGTTTTCTTTTCCCCTCAATTCCCCCATCTCCTCCCTCCTGTTAGTAAATGAAGTGATCTGGACTGGACCTTGTGATGTTTTCTGCTATGTCAAATGTCTGGCATACCATCTTTGGCAAAGTTGGGAGGGTAGGAAGTTTGCGTTTCTGAAAGAAGGCAAATCACTGCACCCACAATGCTGCACATAGACTCACAGAACTGCCGAACATCTACTATAGTCCTTGGAAACATGCCGAGACCGGGCGAAGCCCTCAGAGTGTCCGGGGCACCACCAGCCACTGCGTTGTGACACATGGTTTTTAAAGCATTATTTACATACAATCGGAAACACTTCGGTCAAGCTTTGAAGCTCAGAGAGGGTCTCTTGTGCAGTAAGGAATTAGCACCAGCTATGAAGTAAAATCTGTAGGGGTCATCATTACATTTCATTGGAACTTAAGAATTTGTTGGGGGCCGAGGGGCTGCCTCCACTTTTTCTCCACACCCAGTTTATGAAAGGGGAATGCAGATCTGGTAGAATTCATCACCAAACAGGTGGCAATCTCACCTGGAGGCAAAATGCCATTGAAAGGATACATAGTTAAATCTTGACTAACTGGAATGTTTAGCAGTGAATCATTTGGTAAATTCTATGACCCTCTAAATAAGTAATGGGTCATGAAGAAAAATCAGTGTTTCAGAAGCAGTGAGAGTCTTGGGCCACTTTCCTGCCTTCAAGTCTTATGGCAGCCATCAGAATCAGAACTTTCCTTGCTTTGGCTTCCGGTAGATGTGTCTTGTGGCCTTTCCGCTGAAGATCAGCTCTTAACTGTTTGGTCCTCTTTGATATGAAGTTAAAGGATAGAAACTGAATGAGAGAATGCAAACTACCTCAATTGCCCTCAAAGAGAAGCAATTTTAAATCCCTGATGTGATTAATTTTTTCTTTATTCACATGTCAATTTTTCCCAAAAGGTATAAATGTAGTCAAGGATTCTCGCTTTCTAGATTCCAGTTAGTCAGGCTTTACATGGGTCTTTTTTTTTTTTTTTAAGTTTTAAATTTATTAATAAATTGAGCCCCTCCCCCTCCTAATCAGGAAGTGGGATATTTTTAATCAGCCTCAAAGTTTAAAGAATGTGAATGGTCACATAATCAGCTACAATGACATCAATTTCTATTCTAAAAGCTAGGATCAAGAGAGATTTTAGGTTAAAGACTTCTGTTCAAAGGGAAATGGGTGGGGTGAAGGAGATCTACTAACAGGTTTAATTTTCCAAATGCATGTCAAATGATCTGCTCATGCATTTTTTCCCCCTCCACGGCTAGTCAAATGAGGCTATCTTCCACAGCCCTCGTTTTTTTAGGTTCCTTCTGTTGCAAACCTTTATAACCACATGTCACATTTCTGCTACATTCCAAAAAAGCGTTGCAGAAACTTGAGAACAGTTGAATGTTTTGTGATGTTGTGCATGCAAAATCTACACATTTCAACATTTCGGCCAGTGTACGGGCAGATGTTCTAAGAAGAAAAATTTGAGATGGATGGGTCCAATTTGGTAAGACTTAACTCCTTCTTGCCAAAGGCTTTGCAGCCTCAGCATTAGGTTCAGCCATAGCTGACCAGACATGGTATTTGGTGGGTAGCTGAAAGAGAGCATGTCTGTCACCTCCTCTCTAACTCGGACAGCTAACTTGAGCCAAATTACCTGCTTCTGAAAAATCATACCTTGATACATGTGTTTCTCATCTTCCAATCTTACCCCTAGCCTTTTCTAAAGGTGCCATTTTGGCTTTTGGGTTTAGAGGGAAAGAAAATTCCCTAAGTGCCCGTTTCTTGACTCTTGTCTCTGTCTGGAGGTACACTTTCTGGAAAATGTTGAAACGTTCATCAATAAAAGTTGCTGACAGTGAAGCTTTCACTGTAGTATGCCTGATTTTTAATGCATTAACAGTAACTCCTACTAATATCATCTATGCTATGAGATGAATGCATCGGAGACGGTATTGATCTGTTCTGCATGCCACATGCTCATCCTGTCTCTGCCTGGCAGGAATGAGCTTGACAAGGCTTGGAGACGGGCCTTGGGAAACCAAAGCTTCAGGCAGGCAGGCAGCACCTACTTGTTACAGGGACACACACAAAGCCCGCAGAATTTTCCTAGGTCCGTCAAATTCTTTTCTGCTTCTTTCATGTCCTTATTGATTTGGTCCATCCCTTCCTCAATGCGTTCCAGTTGTTCTGATTAAACACAAGTATTTTATCCCCACAGAATGAAGCAGATGGAAAAGGACAAAGAAAAAAAAGACAAAACTTCAGACATTCACTTTGACATTAAAAAAGAAAAAAAGAAAAAAGAAAGAAAGAAAACTGGACGCCACAGATTAGAGCTGGTACCCAGTACCTACTTGTTACAAGGACATATGAAAAGGCCACAGCATTTCCCTAAATCTTTTAAATTTTTCTCGGCCTCCTTCATGTCTTGGTTGATATGGTTCATGCCTTCTTCGACACGATCGAGTTGTTCTGGTTAGGACAAAGGGATGACAGTGTGGAATGAATTTTTTGGGGGTTTCCAACAGAACATGAGAAATGACTATGTGAGACAGAATTTGAAGGAGAAAGAGAGATTACAATGCATTATTTGAGAGGCTGCATTGCTGTCGACTGCTGCTGCTGTTCTACACAAATGTGGGTGAAAGGAAATGAACAAAAATGATGCACAAAATAGGTTGTAATTCAGACATGATGGGAGAGGGTAGGTAGGCCTGTTTGATTCTGAGTGTCCAGGAGAGAAGCATGGGATAGCCACTTACTCAGACACCAGCGAAACCCAAGAGAGAGAAAAACAGGGTATTAATTTATTTTGTAGGCATTCAGGCCACTCAAGAAAAAGTACCTGCTTCAACTATAAAATACATGTATCTTTTGTTTTTTATGCATCCTCGACCAGATAAGGGGAGAAACCAGAATCCATCTCCTCCTTTATAGAAAGCAGCAATGGCCACAGTGATAACTGACCTTTTCTCCCTTACCAGGGGTTCTCTGGCCAAATGTAGCCCATCAATTCTTGGTTCTGAATACTTTTTTTAGAAGCCATACAAAACCAGTATCAGCACAACAGTACTGACATATTTTAATTCAACTAAGTTTATTAGCTAGGAAAGCATTCGTCAATGGTGCCTGATTTCCCATTCCCTATAAAGGGGAAAATGCTAATACTAATCCCAGGCAGAAAGCAGGGAAAGTGAGTACATGGGTCTGAAAAACAATGGCCTGGGACACAGGACCTTCTCGAGTCATCTCCGTAGTCAAACTGACCTTAGTGCATTTAGGACATAGATCAATAGCCATAAAAACAAATCATACTTCTAGGTTGCTAGGGTTACATGCATTACTAAGTTGATTAATTTTTAAAAAGTAGTGTCATCAAATTGAGTAAACTATAAGTGCAACGTAAGGATATTAAAAACAGTTTTAGACCATTAAAGGAACCTCAGTGGGACGGCTGTGCTCTCTATTACAAAACCTAATTACATTTCCATTCCTCCATCTATATTTTCATGCATGCATGCCTAGGCCTCTGGAAATAAAGGCATGGTAAGTACAAACTGATAAATAATTTGCAGTCTGAGGGCATAAATAATCACTTACGAGTAATTTCACATTGAATCATACAGAAGGAATGATCTTTCCAAAAAACTAGGATAGGTTCTCTAGCAACAGACTGGAAAGACTGTCCATTTGAAACATAACATATTGTATTCTTTTGGTGTGTTAAGCTCAACTAGACTAGTACTCAGCTTATCCTAGGAATCCTTTTTCTCTGCAATGCTTTTCAAATGATTGGTGAAAACAAAATATTAGTATTCATCCAGCATTGGATAGCTAGAGGAAATAACAGTATAGTGCTGGTGAACTTTGTTGAATAAATGCGAGTGTAGTAATATCTTTAAGAAAATCCTTAGAAGGGATTTTTTTTTAATGGATGATTCTTTAGATTCCAGGGAATCTTTTCTTTTTTGAAGATATCATTCAGGTTTTCTTTTAAAATTGCAAGAAACTAAGGAGTATCAAATTAATTATTTCATCAGGGAGTGGGGGGGGCGAGGTAATAGAAGCTCAACATCATTAAGAGAAAAGCCACATTAAGTGCAGATGGAAATAGGGCTACCAAATCTCAAGAGAGTAATTGTTAATGGCTTCCTCGTGTGTTGAGTATGATGGATTGAAGGAGTGTCTGGGCCCAGAGGGCAAGCACTCTGAGTCAACAAGAATATTTGGAATGTGTACAGATGATGGCACAAGGACTCACATTCAGGTATTTGCCCTTCTGAAAGAGTTTCTCTTGAGTTAATATTTTGGCCAAAATTATTAACTCTCTGATAACATTTCAGGAGTCCCAGCGCTGTGCTCTAAGATTAGGAGGTAATATGAAAATGTGAATTGGTCCACCAGTGTTGAACTTCTGGTCTGGAGAATTCAAATTAAAAGATGAAAGCAAAACTGCAGGACCAAATTCATATTTCTGAGAGGTATGTCCTGCTATGACTCACCAGCAGGATGGAGTAAGAGGGGAATTTGAAATATTTTGAGAAAGGTTATTCCCAATAGCTATTAGCTACCAATATCAGTTGAACTTCTTTTAATATGTGTACAATTTTAAATCAAGCACTTCATTAAAAAATGCTTAGAATCAATTTGTCAAAGATAGTCAAACCATAAGTACTTTTTAGAGTATTTTGAGTTCTACTTGGCACACTGGGTCCTCACAGCACCTGCGTGATTTCTGAGAAGACATTTTTCAGGAAATGCCTCAAATCAACCACCATCCTCATCTCACTCAGGACAGACAGTAGTATCTTGGAAGCTGATGTAAAACACGCTTGGAGTTGGCTATTTTTACTTCCCTAAACTTGCTTTCTGACTGTTTTTATTCTTGGAGCTTGGCAAGAGAATAACATTTTGGGTCTGGGAAGGGCCTCCAGTAGGTAACACTAAGTGTTGGAGGAAGAGCTTAACTTTTCTTTTGTCATTTTTGAATGACTGGTTATTTGTGAAAGATCCATCAATTGCAGACTGTTGAGGGATCTAAGTTTAGATGTCTTTTCAATGATCACATCTAAGACAACAAATGGCTCTGGGGATCCTCAACCCAGTGGAAAAAAAAAAAAACAGTAGAAGAATAGCACAACAATGCTAGGGACCCATTGTGCCAGGCTTCATAATATTCAGTGATGAAACACTGACAACATGGTTTTTGTTTAGTGTCTGTATGCATATGTAAAATCATCAAAATATATTTAAATAGCCACACGTGGTTAGTGACCATCTTATTGGACACTGCAGCTTTAGTCATTCCTAACAGGTATTGGTAAGTGGATGTTAGCAAGAAGGATGTTTTCTCAATTGCTACCTTTTAGCGCCATGTACCTTTAAGAAAGCTGGCAGCTTCCCTGGATGAAGATTCACTTTGCCTTTATTCTGCCAGGCAGGGATCAGAGGTTGACTTTTTAGTTCAGAGTTGATCCCAGGGGCTTTGCCTAAGAGCTATATCTTCACCATTGAAACATATAACTCAGCAAAGACTGACAAAGGAACAAGAACTACAAAAGTGGAAGGTCATTCCACATTAGTGGTAAGGTTGCTTCGTGGGAACTCCCTCGGAGAAAGTTTTCTAGAGAAATGAAAAGTTCCAGGACTCAATAGGTTTCCAGGGCTGTCTGTATGCTCAGGGCTTCTTGGTGTCTCCTGAAACCTGGGTATAAAACAAGATTCCCATAAGGAGTTCCTGAGTGCAACCATTTAGCTGCACAACCTGGGAGGATTCTTTAGAAAGACAGCTGTTCCTTGAGACTCAGGCACGGCTGCAGGGTGGAAGCAGTCAATAATTTTGGCGTTCAGGTAGAGAAAGTTAGCAGAGCACAACTGGAAAGAAACTGTAAAGCAGTTATTGATACACACAACTAAACATGCCATAGACAGAATTAAAATCAATAGACAGTGGCAGTGACAACTGCTGTTTACTTATGCTCATTGTCATTTAACAAGATCCCAATCTCCTACAAATGGAACAAGTACCACTTAAGACCAGGCAGACGTCACCCACTGTTGGAGGTTTTACAGGTGGATGTCTCTCATCAAATTCAATGTCGTCAACTTGGTAAAATTCAGGAAGTACATTTAACCATGGAACTCAGCAGTTAGTGTGGTGAGGGCACAAATGAAATGTTTTAGCTGAGAGTATTAACTATTTTGTGGGGGAAAGAAATCTGCTATTCTACTTCATTTCTCCGAGAATATATAGATGTTCCCAGGAATCATTTATGCTTCAGAATAATAAGTTTTCATATTTGTATGGAGGTTTTGGTAACTTTTCTCTCTAGAATTTCTATTCATAGTACAGTGGAAAATTTGCCACTCAAGTATGTTCAGTTTCTCTCTTCTTGATATTATTATGTTTTTAATATTATTTTCCAGATTTTTATATTAAAGTCTTAGAAGTTGGTGGGAGACATTATCCTGACAATTTCCGAAACTTTTCCTCTGATTGCAAGACCTCTCTTTATCACTTTCACATGTGAATTACTAACTGAGAGAGTTCGTATCACATGCAAATTATTAGCCAAAGGAGTTAAGGTGGAACTACTAATTATGGGAGTATGAATATATCAATTTAGCTCTGGAAATGAGGTTCCTCTCCCCTATAAGGACATCTGGTATTTATTAAAAAAAAAAAAAAAAAAAAGCAATGCTTTACTGCATGTAGTTTCAAACCTGGGACACGTTACACAAATCAAGCCAGCAAGTTTTATAATCACAGCAAATTCATTTGGGGACTTCAGAAGACTGCCACAGTTAATATAATTCCTTCCAAAATTAACTGCACGAGAGCCCATCATTTGTGTGTGTGTGTGGGGGGTGTGTGTGTGTGTGTGTACACTTACATTTTTAAAACTGAGGGGAAAGATTGGGGTTGATGTTCAATTATTTATTTTTTAACTAATGCTTAAGAATAATATATTTGAATGGAGCTTTTGGCAAATTTTCTTTCTAGACTTTCTTAATCACAGTACAATGAAATATGCAACTTAAGTAAACATGTCTTTTTTTTTTTTTAGTGAATATCTATTGAATAAGTTCAATACAAATAAATAACATAAAAATGGAAGTCCTGACATGACATCCAAGATGCCCACCTCAGACCTCCCTTTAAGAGGGGATTTTCTATGAGGAGTTCAGTGAGTGGACTTCCCAGCTGTTGTATGTGTGGGGCCCACCTAAGCATTCATATGGTGGCTATGCTCTCCCAGGGATGCTTCTCGCCAATGACTAAGCAAAATAGTGTTACCAGAGCTGAAGTGCTGAAGCACCTCAATGTGGAGCTGCTCTTTGGGTAGTCTTTGGGTGGACTTTCTCTGCCTCCTCATCAGCCCACTGACCCTTTCTCAGAATAGCACTTCATCTGAATCACTTCCCACCCAATTCTCTCTCTCCTCCCCATCTCCTGTTATAAGTACCAGACCCCTCACAATAGATGAAGGCTTCCCGCCTGTTCCAGCCCACTCTATTCTTGACTCATTACAGACATCCTCATAGACTTTTTATTCTCACAGACTAAACCTCATAGACTTTTATTTTTAGCATTTCCAGGAATACATTTTCCTCTGGTCCCTCCCTGTCCTGCCCTAATGCCTTAAAAGTCAGTAAATGAAGATTTATCTAATTTACCGCAATGGTTGAAGAATATTTCTTTTATGCTCATAAGTCATTTAGTTGGTTTCCCTACTCACAGACATTTAAATTTCTCTAGTTTTACACTATTAGAGGTAAGGCATGTACATTTTTCTTTGTCTAGTTCTCAGTATGTAGCCGAGGTATAAAATCTAGGAATGAGCATCTTGGTTTAAGATGCTTTAAAATTTGAAGATACTGTTATTAAATTACTCCGTAAAGATTTTTACCACTCTACACTACTATTTATTGAGTGAGAATTTTTGTTTTCCCAACACATTCACATAAGTGGTTATCAGTTGTGCTAGTCTGCTAAAGAGCAGTCTTTTATTATTTGTTTTGGTTGAAACATGGTTTCATGTGACTATTTGCAAACTTCTGGTTACTCCACATCCATTTTTCTTTCAGTGCCTGCCCTTTCCTTTGATGCTATGTAAGAGCTCTGTGGATTTTAGGGAAATGCCTTATGCCTATCACTGGCAATTTTCCCCAGTTTGAGTTTTGTTACTGGAGCTTGTTTATGGCTTCCATACTGAGAACACTCCTTACAGTTTTAATTTTGAAGCTTAAAGTATCTCTCATGCATCGTAGGAATTTTCTAATATTTTTAAAATATAGAAAGAGGAAAAAGTTCTCAAAACTCAGTATATGATAAGAATTCCAAAGGAAATCAGTAACTTGTAGCTAGATTAAATAAAGTATTAACATATGACTAGATGTACTGAAACAAAGACAAAAGTGATATTACCTTTCTAAATTCCACTTTTGAGTATAGATACTATATTAAAGTGCTGGTATTCATTGCTTCTATCATCTTTATAATAATTTTTAAAAACAAGTGTTTCAATTTTTCATATTCCAGTGATTTCCTTCTGCTTACATCCTATTAAAAGTAGCTTCCAATTATCTTAGAGATCTCCATTATGTCTTAGAAATAAAAAAAATACCAGATTCTGAATTAGGGTGGTCAAAAGAAACAGAGATAATCATATATTATTCCCTCATTCTATCTAGAAATTTTTAGAAGAGAGACAAATTATAGAAAAGGTGCAGAAGAAAAGAAATTCTTACACTGACCAAAATACCATCATAAAAAAAAATCCAAACAAATGACTTTGCCTTCAAAATTCTGTTACCTCAACATATATAACAGAAAAAGTTAATTTATCCTGTAGGTCTCTATATTTCCATACATTTGCCAAGCTTTGAAATAGAGAAAGGAGGAAAGGCAGGATAAAAATGCTAGAATTCTCATATACGAGTGTGACATATCAAAATAACCACCTGTATGTGAGCAAGTGATAACAAAAGCACTTTATTCAGATTGAAATTGTTCTTACTGAAGAAATCTCGACTTACCTCCTTGTTCATCCAACATAACCAAAGTCCTGATACCAGCATCTTTACTCTACATTCCAATAATGGTAGCAAAGTTGAAAAAGAGTTAGAGAAAAGAGAGAAAGAGAAATCAGTCAGGGAACAATTAGCCCTAGAAATGGAAAATGAGAGAGGATCAAAGGAAAAAGAGGGAGGAAATATGGTGAGAAAATTAGGGGCTGGGGAAGGACTCAGAAGCATGGGGCATTGCTTCTCTAGGTAAAAGAGAGGGATGTAGCTCAGTCTCCATGGCGGAGAGTTGGGGAATTGAGCATGGAGTTGACATACTCATCCTTAAAATTATACTGTGCTTTTATAGTAGGAAACTAAAAGTGATTACAGTTTTCATAATACCAACCAGACAACGTAACTCTTTCAAAATCTAAATGAAATAATCTCTAGCATGATATGTTTCTGGCATTAGTGAGTTGGGGAAGGGTGCCCCAATAACAAGATGTGGAAGAAGCTCAGAGAGTGAGATTCTTAGTCTTATGAAAAGAGATGTTTGCTTCATATAGTTCGAGGAACAGCTCAAAGGGAAACTCATTCTTCCATTATCCTTCTATGGAGAAAAGTTCTGTAAGAGTTTCCAGTGAGAAGCATACTCTATTCCGAGATCTAAAATCATGCCAATAATATTGTGTGAGAGAATAATTTATCCACAAGTTTTGCTACAATTCTTTTGTGCAGGAATAGCCTTTAAAAGACACTCTTCACTAGTTTATTATTATCAAAATAAACTAAACTCTTTCTAAACTATTTTGAGGGCCAGAGTGGGAGTTTGGAGGTGAAAGAACAGAGATATCTGTATGGCTCATGCTTGGGAATAATCATTTCTAGGAATTCTAACTAGTTAAGTAATGACTTTGTATTTTTACAGGGGATGATTAGTAAGTATAAAATGACATTGCTGACATTTTGGATAAATTGGGTTGTTTTCAAGGAAAGCTCATGGTAACTCCTAGGATAAATTCTTAAATGATACATCTCCCACAGACCATTTCATCTTTCCTCAGTTACTTTAAGAGAGATGTTAATGGGAGTCAACAAAGATTTTATTTTTAAAAAAACACTTTAACAATTCAATGCCAATAGAGCTTTTAAAAAATAAGGCACTGACAAATGATTTCTATGAGCTATTATAAACTCACCATTTCAGATAATGGGTATAGATATCATTCTCAGACTTAGGAAAAAAAAAATCTTTGCTTTTGAGCATATCTGCGATAGATTGAAGTTGTCAAGTCAGGCTGTGGGCTGGACAGTGATGATTCAGGACAACTTCCGGAGTCATTGGCAGCACAAATTGAGAGTCAAACTGAGTTCTAGAACCCTGGTGATTTCATTTCCTAGTTATAGGACCTTGGGCAAAAGTTCTAATTGTTCTGTGCCTTAGTATTCTCATTTGTCATACAAAGATAATAGTAGCTAATACCTAATTGAATGTTTATGTGAATTAGGTGAGTTAATATGTGGCACACACTAGCTTGGTGGTTGGTCTATAGTTGGCATCATGTAAGGATGTAGAAAATACTTCCGGAAAATGCGTCTATAGCAGGATATTGAGGCAAACTAAAAGTAGCATTACCAACTTCCAGAGGAAGTTTATAAACTACTATTTCTCAGATTTTAATGTGCTTGTTTCCTCTGAAAAGGAAGCATGCAGACGTCAATGAAGATATTGTAGATAGTGTTTCAGGAGGACTGGCATACCACCTTATATTTTACATTTCAGCAAGCTCTTCAATGCTGCGGATAATGCTGGTAACACATTAAGCAGTGAGCTTCTAGGTCCCATAGGAGATTTCACCATCTTTTTCTTTATGAAATAATATTGCTTTAGAACATTATATGTTTCAGGCATATAATATAAGTCACTATGTACCAAAAATCTAATTTCCAAAAATCTTTTTCTTCAATATGTTACAAATGAACAATTGTCTATACTAGCCTATATTTTAACAATTTCCTTTTCTGAAAATATTAGTCATTGCTTATGAGAAGACATAAAAAGCAGATGACTTATCCAGCCCACAGATGTGAGAATGTAAACTGATGTGGATGAAAGTATTTCAGAGCATTTTCTCTCCTGAGGACCCAACTCAAGGCCATGCATGAAATCCCTGTTCCATTCTGTTGAGGGCAGTGATTGTAAAGCAAGCTAGTGATTTCAGTTTGATCAGTCGAGCTCTCACCTGCTTACATTTCCTGTTATGCCCATTTATTTTACATGGTGCTCTGCCACTATGATTCCACATTTGCCCAATTAAGTGCTGAATGTTTCAGCACTGGAATGGTTCACAGAATATGTAAGAACAAGAGTTTGCCCTATTTCGGAGGATAGAAGCAGTGAGCTCCAAGCCGGACATTACGAATGCTAGATTGTGCTCTTAGTTTAGCCAACAACTAGTCATAAGGCCACTGTGGAAGTCATTTGACCTTTTAGGATCTGTGTCCAGATTTAAGATAAGGGTAAAGATGTCAAATAAGTCACCTAGTGGATAACTGGTAGGTTGGTTCATTCACTCATCCATCCATCCATCCATCCATCCA